GGTGGCTTTGATGAAAGGTGGTGAGGAGCTTGATAAAAAAGAAAAGTGATTTTTATTTAGGGAGTCCAAACAGACAGCTCCTACTTTGTTTGGACAAGGTTGTTTCTCGACTGCAACAAAGGTGGACTTTGAGGCAGAGTGAACTCGAGCAGTCGGGGAGGCTTCTTGGGACACACAGCTACTTTGTGATTTGGATCAGCACAGTAGAGGCAAAGATTATGAGATATTCAACATTGCTTCTCAGCAGGACTCAACTTCCCTCTAATGAGTCAGGGAGTACCAAAAATATCCATCGGGACCGGAGCAGTAGGTCTAGGAGTATGCCCCGAAGACTCAAGGTTGGATTCTTGAGTCTGAGACGGGAAAATGGCGGCGCGGCGACTTTCCTGATGACATTCAAAGAGACGATTGTCACATCGAATAGCTTTGTGGATGGCATCCGACAGGTCCGTGGGATCCTCCATGGTGAGCAACAAATCCTTAACACCGTTGTTGAGGCCGAAACAAAATTTATCAATCAGGGCCTGCTCATCCCATTGAGTGTCCAAGGCAAGGAGTTGGAACTCTGCAGTATAGATCGAGGCAAGACGAGACCCCTGAGAGAGACATCTCATTTTTGTGGTGGTAGCCCAAACCCAATCCGTCTCGCCAAAACATGCTTCGAGCTTTTCTTTGAACAATTGAAGATCCATCAGCTCCAGAACCATGACCCTTTCATGCTCTTCTCCAGGAGAGGAGAAAACCATGACAAAGCTGCACCTTCGAGTAACATCCCAATCGCGCCAATTTGAGACTCGAGAGTGGGGTACCGCCGATGTTGAAGTGTGAAGATCAACTCCATCTAGTTCAGGAATCTGCGAAGCTCCGAACACTTGTCTGAAAATGTCACCAAGAAACTCACCTTCGGTTTAGGAACTTTGCTAGATCCTCAATCTCAACAGCCTCTGAAAGCTTCTTATTTATCCGGTCCATAGCCTCGAAAATGAGACGGGAAGTTGGCCCCTCTCGGTCCGCAAGCTTCAAGACCTTGAGGAGCAGTCCAAGCAGCACCGACAAGTGTTGGCACCTAGTCCAGAAGAGTTCGGAGTCTCTTCTAAGATCCGAGTTTGAATGCGCTAGGCTTTGGCTGTCTTTGTGACGTCCAATCACCGCCACTCAGAGCTCACAACCATCTCCTTCAATGCCTCCAAGGTCGTCAGATTCAGGAGCTGAGACATCACTAGAAACATGTAAGTGAACCTTGTGCTCGCCGGCTTGATGAGATCCCGATTGCTCAGCTTCCGAAACAAAGCCAGAACACGAGGTTTTTTGGTGATAAAAGTTACCACCTCGTTGCAGCCTTTCACCAATGGTTTTACCCACGACAAGCTCCCGATGTCTTCGAAGAGAAGGTCCAAGACATGGCACACACACCGGCTGTGGAGAATGTGAGGATACTCAGCTGTCATGAGTTCTCCCATTTGCACACAGTTTGATGCATTGTTAGTGATCACCTGAACAACGTTTTCTTCGCCAACTTCTTGAATCACTTTCTTCAGCTCGACCCAAATCCACTCTCCCGTCTTTGTCCTGCCCTCGAAATCTACAGACTTCAAGAAAACCGAACCCTAGATGTTGGAGGCCATGAAGTTGATCAAGGATCGGCTACAGTTGTCAGACCAGTCATTGGTGATGATGCTAACTCCATATCTTCTCCACCCCTCACAGATTGGATCAAGTCGAGCATTGACACTATCATAAAGCTTCTTCAGCTGTGTACTCCGTAGCTTCTCATATCCCATCATCTGTGCAAGAGCTCTAGGGCCGAAGTCGATAGCAGCTTGAAGCAACTTCCTCAGATTTGGCCTCCAAATGGTGTTGAAAAGGATATTGTCAACGTAGAAGAACTCGGCCACGGCATCATCCAGACATTGAACCTTTGCAGACTTCATCATCTTTCGAATGTCACCATCCAGTGTCGGTGCAGCACTTCATTTAAGACTGCTGCTCTCGGAAAGTGGAACGCTGCCACTGTTCACCTCGCCTAGCCCTCTGGTAGCCCCACCACTTGCCCCGCAGCTGGCACCGCTACAAATCTCTACATTCCTTCCTTCCACACCCCCAAGGTGAGCGCGAACTCGTTTAGCCGCGCCGGTGTAAGTATTCGAGCAATACTTACACTTCCATAGACTCATGCCATGGCTTGTCTTGGATGTCGGCCTCAGTTTCAGAACATGAGCCCGCTCCAGCATGGCTACCTTCCTCCCCCCATCCCAGACTTACCTCAGCGCTTTCAGATCCCGCGAACCCTGAATTTACATGAACCCTAATCCTAAGTAAAAGAAAGCATATTCTTTAGGGTTTTTAAAAAATATTCTTGGTGTTTAAATGCCGATTTAAATGCCGTATTATATGCTTGTTTTAAATGGCATTTTTTATTAATCGTACCCATTCAAATGCAAGTATGCTGCTACTTTTCAAAGACTTATGGACTGTGTCCTTGGTACGCTCAGATGGGAATTGTCACTTGTCTATATAGATGGTGTTAATGTCTATTCTCGAGGAGTATGTAGCCACATCACAGACCTCAGAAAGGTATTTTCCAGATTGAAAGCAGCAGGTCTGAAGATTAAGCCAAAGAAATGTCACTTCTTCATGTGCGAAATTAAGTTTCTTGGACATGTGGTGTTTGGCAAAGGAATTGCTCCGGATCCTGAGAAAATATCAGCAGTGAAATTCCTGAGGGAAAGAAGCAGGTCCACGAGTTCTCCTTCGTGTGTTTGGAACTCTAATGCCTCGATGCAGATTAAAGCCTTTCTTGGTCTGGCTGGCTATTATCAAAGATTTATCAACAAATTCGTAGAAAGGGCCTTGCCACTGTCTAAAGCAGTCGGAGCGGATGGCTTGGGGTGCCGAGCAGCAGAACACCTTTGAAGAACTAAAGCGGGAGCTGTGCAAGGAGCCTATATTATCTTATCCTGATTGCAGGTATTGTAGTTGCCTGGTGATGTATTGATCCATTTACTATATCATCCGGTGCAGCAAGGCTTTCCTTTTGCAGTGCAATGCGTCAGGCAATATTGGCACAGATTGGGAATGGGAATGCGGAACATCCCATTGCTTATTATAGCAAGTCAAGATCGAAACTGATCACTAAGAGTCAAGGCTCTTCAAGGCTCAGGATCACTCTCAGGCCATCTCGATTTACTTAATGGGATATGACTATGAAATTGTCTACAAAAGAGGCTCACAAAACTCGAATGCAGATGGGTTATCCAGAGCCTTTCACAGCTAGACCGTCTCACAAATTTGTTGAATTTCCTTGCTATATTTCTCATGTTTAATCGCATTGGCAATATTTATCATTCCTGTTCTGGCGTGAGCATCCCTATTTGGACTTGATTATTTAATCGGTTGAAGTAGTTATCCCTGCTTTGGACTTCCATGGATCGCGAAGAATACAAACTGCGCCTGGCCTTCGCTGAATCAGGAGAGATTGTTCCTGGCATTGACAAGTCAGTGAGGAGAAAACTCAATCGAGGAAGAGATAAGTTTGGTTTGCTAGATGGCAAGCTAATGTACATCGCTTCAAGGGAGGTGAATCAATACCTGTTGGTAGTTCAGCGGGATGAGGTCAATGAGCTCGTGCTAAGATACCATGTTTCCTCTTTATCGGGTCATTTGTCACGGAACAGGATCCTAGATGATTTACAGCAGCATTACTGGTGGATTGGTACGAGGAATGATGTTGATCGGGTTACAGCTTGCAAGATCTCTAATGCTCTTATGCGGTCATCTATAACCTCAGAATTACAGCCGCTGCCAATTGGAGGGCCTTTTGCAAGGGTGGGACTTGATTTCGTTGAACCTTTCAACTTCCCCTCCAGACATGGGAACAAATATATTGTTGTTTGCATGGACTACTTCTCTAAGTGGGTTAAGGCACGAGCAGTAAATGACAAATCTACTCAGACTGCCGTGGAATTTATCTACGAGGATGTTATCTTAAGACATGGAGTCCCAGAGCAGATCCTTACTGACAGGATAAAGGAGTTTTGCAGTGAGGCATTAATGGGTGTGAAGCACACCCTGACAGGAAGATTCAAACCTTCAACTAATGGCATGGTAGAGCGCTTTAACAGGACACTAGAAAAGATTATCTCAGTAAATATTTTGCTCAAGAAAGGGGAGTGGGACAATGTTTTGCCGGAAGTACTCTTTGCTTACAGAACAACAAGACAGGTCCACAGGTTTTTCACCTTTTGAGATGATTTACAGGAGAAGAGCGAAGAAACCTGCTCACCCTGGATTAGATCTCACCGCAACCAATGATGGTATTGAATCCCAGAACTATGTTGGAGAAAGCTCGAATCACAGGGCAATCTTGGAAGAAAGAGCAAGAGCAAACATTGAACAGGCACAAGCTCGTTATTCAAGGAACTACAAGAAAACAATCAATGATCATCCCTTTGGTGTTGGAGATTCTGTCATGGCCAAAGTTGTGGTGCAAGGCATCCTAGGAAGGAAGTGTTCTTCACGGTACGATGGGCCCTATTTGGTAATAGATCAGCCAACTCAAGCTAAGATGACAATTTTGGCTCAGCAAACAGAGAGTGCAATGCCAGGGACAGTGTTATCCACAGTATTACGATTCTCTAATTTGATATTCGACAGCAATGTTAGAAGTCCTGGAGAGCACTCAATCAGACCCATGTTTTTTCAAGTCTCTCCTTCGAAAACGAGGAAATGACTACAGACATTAGTCTAGGAGTTGTGTGAGAACACGAGTGACCGCTACAACGTTTTCACGCAGAGAATATCCGCGAAAAATATTCTTCCAGATGAATAAAGGAATGCCACATGTCCACGGTCATTTTTCGGCAGACGCCATAAATTCCTCCAATATCAAGTCAGTCAAAAAGTGAATCTGACGTAGTCCACCTTGCAAGGTCTTGTCCAAATAGCGTGACACAGCTGGCTGGGAGTTCAAATAATTCAGCGCTTGAGAGGCCGAAAAAATAATGGCTAGTAAAGGAAAGTTGTGCTTCATTGTCTCGTCGATCTTCATCCTGCGTTTTGCTCAAGCAGAAATATGCTACTCGAACTTCACCACCAAGATAAATGGTGCCTTGTATCCGCTTGATCCATACGGTTTGAGTGGCCGCTACGCTGGTTTATGGTCAAATTATAGCAACATAGATATCAGCCAGGGCATGAGTTACCAGGTGTGGATGCTGAGTTATAACGCTGAAACGCCAAAATCGTTTTTCCTGGCACCCATTGCCATCCGCAATCCAAGTGAGTATTGGGATCTCACTAAACCGGTCATCCTGTGGAAGGCCCGACAGACGAGGCTTGTAGGTGAGAATGCCACTTTACAATTTACCGCAGATGGAGAGCTTAAAATCGAAGACGATGATGTTGTATGGTCCACGAAAACTGCAAACAGAGGCGTCCGGTGGCTCTGTATTTCCAATCGCGCAGCCATAATGCTCCTGGATGAAAGCTGAAGCAATGTCATCTGGCAAAGCAGCGACGAACCTTCTGATACTGTGCTGTTGCAACGAGCACTTACGCCGGGACAAAAGCTCGTAAGTTGGAATACTTCAGAAGACAGCAGCGATGGCCTCTATAGTCTCGTCATAGAGAATAACAGGCTGCAACTGTTGTACGCCTCGCAACCATACTGGAGCTTCGGTAATATTACCAGCGAGGAAGATATGTTTGCGGTGTTCTGCTGGCAAAACGATGGTAACGTGTCTCTGGATCTGCGAGCCAACTTCTCACAGATTGAAACGAAGCGTGATGACTTGGGGTTGGTGTTTTCCTTGTCATGTTCCAGTCGAGGTTTAAAAGACCAAGTGATGGAGTTGCCAATAAATGGGTCAAAACTCACGGCCTCCACTTTCATAAAGCTGAAACCGGACGGGGATGTCGTCTTGTACTCCTGGAATTGGACGGGTACAAACTGGATAGATTTCTTCAGGTTTTCGACTCTCTTCAAGTGCTTTCTTCCAAGTGGATGTGGAAGATACAGAACCTGCAATTCAGCATCAGGCGCATGCGAGGAAACTTGTCCAGATACCTTTGCAAGAAGAGGTGAAGACTGCCAGCCACCATATCCACTAGAGACATGCGAAGACCAGCTCGAGTATCGATTCGTTCGAAGAGAGGGAGCTGATTACTTCTCCACAAATTATTCCACTCCAGTTCCTGAAGCATCAGTGGACGCGTGTCAGGGGCGCTGTGAGTCGAACTGCACCTGCACGGCGGCCTTTTATGATGACGGGAGCTGCTTTCTCACGCACGGCGACGTGCAGTCACTCCGATCTGGGAAGTACGTTGCTCTGCTGAAAGTTGCCCGCCCTCGAAAGATTTCCAAGACGCAACTCCAGGCCATCACGTTGGGAGTACTTGTTCCAACAATGTTCCTGCTGATAGTCTGTCTCGGATGGCACTGCCGGAGGAGAAATAAGCATGATGACGACGAGGGAGAAGAAGAAAGCACCTTGCAGCTATCCCTCATGGCGGGTATGCCCAGGCGCTTCAGTTTCCAGGAGCTTGAAGAAGTCACAGGGAAGTTCAGCAACTGCCTCGGGAATGGAGGATTCGGAAGCGTTTTCAAAGGATTACTTGCCGATGGAACTGAAGTTGCTGTGAAGAAGCTCGAAGGGTCGAACCAGAGAAGTAAGGACTTTTTTGCGGAAGTTGGAATTCTAGCCAGGACGCACCACTGGAACCTCGTCAAGCTGCTGGGATTCTGTGCGCAAGGACCCAGGAAAAGGCTCCTTGTGTACGAGTATATGAAGAATGGCTCTCTAGAGCAGTGGATATTTGAAGACGACAGAATTCCTGGGAATATTTCGTGGAAAGTTAGATTCAACATCGCAATAGGCACAGCGAGAGGATTGAACTACTTACACGATGACTGTGTTGAAAGGATAATCCACCTGGATCTGAAGCCGGAGAACGTACTCCTCGACGATGGTTTCCAGTCGAAGATAGCAGACTTCGGATTGTCCAAGCTCATGGACAGGAAGGAAAGCCAGTTGCAGCTGACGACTACGAGAGGCACTCCTGGCTATGTTGCACCAGAGTGTATTCAGGAAGGAACGGTGACTGAAAAAACAGATGTTTTCGGCTTCGGGGTTCTGCTGCTTGAGATCATAACAGGCTGCAAGAACAGGAACCTCTCAGGCGATTACCTGAAGGACTACTTGTTGGTTAGTAACAGAAACGGTAGTGCCGCTGCTCACCTCTCTGAAGAAGAGAACGAAAAGGAAAGATTGAAGAATGTTGCGGCGATGTGTGTTCGAGACGATCCAAACTTACGGCCCTCGATGAGCAAGGTTATACAGATGATGGAAGGAGTTACCGAGCTCCTTGAAGTACCTTTGGAATCGGAGCTGAACTTCTTTTTCGCTTACAGACCCAAAGATCAGCAAAGAGCCTCGAACGTGAGTTATCGGAGTTCTGATAAGTTTCTGAACTCGTCTTCCTCGTTTACTGCCTTCTCACAATCTAGCCTGAATGCCCGATGAAATTATACGTTACAACATTGAACGAAAAATATACCTTCGTTGATTCGCTACTGCTGAAACTGTTGCGCTAAGCCAAAAACAATGTAGCTGCAATATCATTAAATCATCAACCTCCAAAGAAGAACAGTTATATCTTCTCCTATTTGAGTTCCAGAAACTCATAAAGGAAATTCGTCGTAGAAAAATCGTCAATTAGTACGTGATTCAAAACTAGAAATTATAAGAAGAAACCGTTTCGAGCTTCGGCTTTCAGCAATAGCAGGCTACAAAAAGAAAAACCTCGCGAAATATCCTGAAAAGCTCCATCAGAAACACAAGAAAAGAGAAAGATTGCCAATCGTCATGGCAATGTGGGGTAAAAAGCCAATATTGAGCTTAAAATCGCAGGTGATCTTGAGAGAAAAGGATGGAGCTCCCTCATAAGTGTTTCGAAAAGATGCTGAAACTATCAATATCGTTCAAGGATCTGCCACAACACGAGTCCATCTCGAGCACAAAAAAAGGAATAGCAATGGACGCGATTCTTAGCTTGAAAACCAAAATTTACCAAACGATGGACAGCGTCCGCCTGGAGCTAACACAGTTGGAGCACAAAAGTAAGCGCATCACAGCGCACTCTTCCTCTATCAACGAACAGCGACCAAAGTGTGAGCGTCCATCTAAAGCCAAAGGAATTCTTTGTGTAAGCGAAATATACCTCAGATTTCACGGATCTTCTGTGACGAGCTCCAGCGCCAAGAAAAAGAAATCGCGCCATGGCATTGCATTCTACAAATTGCGAGGTTAATCAGCCGCAAGAAATCGAAACTAGAGAGAGCAACTCAATGAATGAAGTGTCACCTCAAAGATTCACCACAGTGCTCGAGCAGCACTGAGATGTTAGAGCTCTCGATCGGCAGAAATCCATCGCATTTTCCGAGCTCCATCCCTGGCCCATTCATAAACCCTAGAACACAAACCCACTTTAAGAGGCTTTAACAGGAGCAAAGGTTTATTATTTATCCACGTATGATCCAAAACATTCTTCGCAATCTAGCGAGCTAAGGATTTCACAGCGTCTCGCAGCCTCGCGTAGTCCTCGAGCTTGTTGTAAATCTGGTGAGAAACTCTCGCGTACGCCGTCCCGGATCTCTTGCTCTTCGAATTCGCGCTGGGCGATCCCCCCGCCTGGAAGCAAATCGGCACCTCCACTCCAAACTCCCTGCGCAGCCTCGTCCTCATCTCCAGCGCCGCCTCCTCGCTCGCCACTTCCAGCTTCGCCGGGAGCTCCACCATCGCCATGGACGAAGCAAGCTCGGCACACGTCCCACACTGCGTCCCCCACGCCGCCGCGAGCATCTCCGCCATCGCCATCGCCCCCCGGTGATTGAAAGCGATGAGACTGGAGAGGCCACCTAGATTCCCATCGATGAACTCCACCGCGGCGGTCACGGCGAGCTGGGAGGTGTAGTCTCTCGTCCCCACCCAAGAACACTCGCTGAAGAGCCCCAGCTTGAAGTTGTGAGACACCACCGGGTGGTGGAGGCGCTCCAGATGCTTGGCCTTGGCGTGGAGGAACGCGACGCTGTGTGGAGCGAAGAGCCACTTGTGGAGATTGCTCGAGTAGTAGTCGGCGTCGATCTCCTCCACGCTCAGCTCGATGTTGCCGATCGCGTGAGCGCCGTCCACGAAGATCTGCTCCACTCCAGCGTCGCGGCAAAGGGCGACGAGATCTCGCGCCGGGAGAACCACCGATGGCATCGAGGTGATGTGGTCGATCACCGCCAGCCGGATGGTGGTGGAGCTCTTGGCGGCCTGCTCCAGCGATCGCTGGAAGCTGTCGATGATCTGCCGGGCGGAGAGGATTGGAAGCGCGAGCTCCACCTCGATGATCCTCGCGCCGGCGCGAACAGCGTAGGCCTCGAAGCACTTCTTCACGGCGGCATAGCTGCAGTTGAGCATGAGGATGGCGTCGCCGGGGTGGAATCTCTTCTCCAGGAATCCCCACGCCATGTCCTGGGCGATCATCGCCGCCGCCGTGGTCACGTTGTCCACCAGGACGATCTCCTCCACGTCGGGCGCGCGGATGATGGACGCGATCGCCTCCCGCGACGCGCGCAATCCCTTCTCCAGGGGGCCGAAGTAGAACTCGTCCGGCTGCTCCAGCCACTGCCTGTGCCACCGCTGCTGCGCCTCCAGGACCGATCGAGGACAGCTCCCAAAGCTCCCGTTGTTGATTCTCGCGATTCCTTGCCTGTGATGCGAGAATTCGCGAGCCAGCATCTCCTCCCAGATCTTGCCGGATCCCACAATCGGCATTCTCTGGATACTCCCGGCCTCTTGCCCTTGCATCGACACAGTCATGGCGCCGCGCCCTCGATCGATCAAGAATCCCTACCCTCGTCGCGGGGATCAATCCTATGCAGCACAACAGCGCTGGATTTCGCCCTTCCTAGAAGAATCTACACTCACAATCTCGCGAGAAATAGGTCGAGTTGCCCTGCCGCCATAGCTCAAGCTTCTGCCCTTAAAAACGAGCCTCTTATTCCCTGGATATTCTCATTTGTCCGTTATTATATGAAGGAATCCATCGTCTTGGAAAATGACGTGCATGCATTAAGCTCAATGGCTTTGCATATGCTATTTGCATATGCCCGGATATCCAAAGAAGCTAGCTTTGCAGCAAAGGCAAAACAATTCCTCCACGAAAGAAGGAATCGATCGATCAAAAAAATTGTTGCCATAGCTTTTCGAGATGCTTGCTATCCTGCGATAGAAGATTAACAAAGATTGTTAGATCTCGATTCCTCTGGAGAAAGATCGTCAAACCTTTGCTTGTGTTATTCGAGACGCTATCGCCCATCCTGTGATAGAAGAGTAACAAAGCTTGTTAGATTGCGATTCCTCTTTAGAAAGATCATCAAACCTTTGCTTGCGTTTTCGCTTTCCTGGAATCCCGTGCTCCGTGCGAGATACTCTCTTGCTTGCGTTTTCTCTTGCCGACGTCCTCGTACTCGATTGGATCGATTATCACTCCCGCTCGTTTGATTATCTGCGTGGTAATCACGTTTACAATCAAATCAACACAGGAAGATCGAGAAACAGTAAGAAAAGCAAAGCTTACAGATGGTCGTGTCAAGTCCTGAAAACCTTTGGCTGGGTTGTAATCACGCCCCAATGGCATCCGCATTGTTTTCTCGAAAACTTCTTTGGATGTGTAGGGGAATGGCAGCGACGACGACAGGAACTTTGCAGCCTGTTACACAGAGAAGTGAGCAAAGAAAAGGAAGAACAAGAAAACCTACCTTCTTATCAGTCTTCTGGCTGATGATGACGTGCTTGAGCTTTGCATCCAGTCTCCGCTTCTCGGCCTCTTCTTTCTTTCGCTTGGCCTCCTCCTGTTGCTTTAGCATCCATTGTGGAGGACCTCTCTTCTTCTGGATGTCTGTCCACTGCCCCCAGCCTGGTAAGTCCATTCTCTCGAGTTCTTCTTGGGGACACTCCTCGTCCACTGCGGCCGCTTTTGCTTCTTGGAACTCGGCCTCCACATCGTCTCCAGCAAAAGCCTCTCGAATCAGATCCTCTTGACTACGTGGAACTATGACTTCGTCACCGTCGTAGTCGAGATCTTCCTCTTGTTCTTCCACGCTGTTTTCCTGCTCTGGTACAGTTTTTTTGTCCTGCTTGCGACTCGTATCCTTTGGCCGCCCCGCAATCGCCACCTTAAAACTTTCGTCTGCTACGCTTTTGCTGTTTGTTTCTGGCCTCGCAACTTCGTCCGTGCCGAATACTGTCGGGTTTGCACTGATAACCGAATGCTTTGTCACCTCCACTCCCATCGCATCTTCAAGTCTAGTCGCCGATTCCTTGTTTTTGCTTTTCTTCTTCTTTTTCTTCTTCGTCCTCTCGCTCTTGTCTCCAGCTATCGTGATTGGTTCGTCAACTTTCGTGGTGTGCTCCACGGCAGCACTAACCTGTATGAACACATTAGTCTTATTTTAAGGAAAGAGGAGCTATACCGGCTTACCATTCCTTCTAGATCAACATCCTCAATATCAACGGCATTGACAGGAACAGGATCAGATTTTCTCTTTTTCTCCTTCCTCGTGACTAATAGCATCTTCGTTCCCATCAACGGAGATTCATCTTCTGAGTTTTCACTATCAGTTCCACGCTCCACCATGTCATCTTCTTCATCGATAGCTTTCATCGCGGATACCTTGTCCGCGTGGCCTCCAAACGACAGCTTCCCTTTTAATGGGCCAGTTTCCTGGCTAGGACCAGCATCGTCAGCTCTAGCTGATTCGAGTTCTTCTAAAACTGCCCGGGCCTCATCTTCTGCTTCTTTTCTCTTTTTCTCAATCGCACGGACCTGACAGAAAGTGGTAGAAGTAAAGATGAGTTGAATTAAAATGCATGAATATTTACCATGAATGGAAGAGCAAAGATACCAGTAGTCGGTAGCTCGGTGTCGTTGGTTCCTTCTTCCAGTGCTTTCAACGTAGCGACCTTGGCTTTGGCCAGCACTCTTGATCCAGGCTTTTCGAGCACAAGTCCCGGCTCATCATCCTTATCACTGTCGTCTTCCTCGTCCTCGTCACTGCTACTGCTCTCAGACTTGGCAGAATGAATTTTTCTCGTCAACAACGCGTGCTCACGGAGCTGCTCTGTGATAGCCTCTCTTGTTCCCTCATTGTGTTGCTGCAAGCCACGCTTTAGAATTCTTTTTGCCCAGCGAGACGTGTTTTTGTGTTTCAAAGTCATGCGCTCCTGCAAAACAGGAGGATTAGTAAGTACTCTGGATACAAGAGACTAAAACTTTTACCCTTGCACGATTCAACTCCTGCTTCATAGTTTCCTCGAGTTGTACGTCAGGATCATCCGCCAACATATCTGCTTTGGTCTTCTGCGATTTCCTCGCAAGCCGACGAAACGTTTTGGACTTGATCTTTTTTACTCTCTTGGCTCTCTCCTCGTGACGGAATAAAAGATTACGCATTTTAGCAAGTCTCTCTTGACGATCCCTGACTTCATCAACCGATAGCTGCACAAAAATAACGCTAGTAATTTACCAGAGGAAACATCAAAGAGCCAACCAGTACCTTGTTAAGCTCGAGGCTTTCCTTGGCCTGAATTTGAGAAGGATCGGCCACACCGTTTTCCTTTAGCAAAGCTGCCACCTCCTTCTCAAACGCTGTCGAAGGCTTGAAATCAGCGACCATCGACGTCGTTGATGAAAGGGCGACGTTTACTTTGTCAATAAACTTCAGTGTAGAGGCTTCACGATTCCTTTTCACGATCGGCTGCCACTTGCTGATGTCCTCAACAGTTTTCTCGTAGCCAGCTTGTCTATCGATCTTCTCCTGAATATTTTTCGGCAGCGGTACCGACACCGGAGCCGCACTCTTTTGCAATGATCGAACCCGTTTCTTGAGCGCATTAAATCCAGGCTTTTCCTGGAGTGGAGCCAGCAAATCCTCAACAGTGATTGGCACTTCTTCATTCTTATCATCCATGTAGCTGATATCTTCCTTGACCTTTTTAGCTACGTAGACAAAGAACAGTCTTTTAGCCGTAGCTGAGAGAGAATAGAAAGGCACGTACCATGTCGGTTCGCTTTACCAGTGACTTCCATGAGCATTCTATCATGGAGTTCTTCCTGATCTCCTTCTTCTTCGTCTCCCTCGTCATCTTCCAGTGATTTATCATCCAAAGTTCCAACATTCTCCTCTCCAGACGCAGCACCTTCATCGATCTCCTCATCCTGCAAACACCCCACATTCAATTCCAGAAGCAAAACAAACACAAACTCTCACCTCGAAATCCGATGGAAGCTCGTACTCCAGCTTGTCCACCTGGTCAAACCGCCTGTTCTTCCCGGACTCCTCCTGCGGCACACCCTCTTGGTACTCGTACAAATCGCTGGCAACCGAATCGGGCTCATCCGCCGGCTTGCCGGATTTGCGAGAATGCCGCCTCTTGCGATCATTCAGATCCAGCGGCAGGCCAATCTCCTTGAGAAGACGCGATGGGTAATTGGGCCCGGCATCCCTGCCCTTGCCTCTTCCTCCCCTGCCTCCTCTTCCCCGCTTGGGCGCCATACCTAAACCCTAAACCTTCACAAAAAACTTAACCAAATAACTATTCCACCTTTGTTAAAAACTTACCAAACACAAGAGCTTTCGTCCTGTGGCTATCGTTCCATCGAGAGATGTAGTAAAACTTTAGTATGGTCCCATGCCATCTATCTATCTATGTAATTATCTATCGTTATCATCCACATGAGAAATATTACAAACCAAAAGCCATGAAGTACCTGCATTCCAATTGCGGCAAAAGAGCCAAACTCTCTCTTCACTCGAAGAACAAAGAAGCATAGTGGCAAACTATTTTAAAAAAAACACATTACAAAAGCATAACAAAGCTTGGTGAAACACATTCATTGTGGTGGTTTTTCGGGCTGGAATTGATTATTTTTGGTGTGATGATAGATCTGGCACACTTGAGGAAGAGATTCCAGTGGCGAGGTGCTGTGCATTTCGCTGGATCATAAATTTTCGTTGTGCTGCATGACTCTGAGGTACTTCTAGGACTGCACAGCGCAGACTCTAAGCAAGTTGGGGATCCTCCACAGACCTTATCACAGATTCTTGAGCTCCTCCCTACGTCGTGTCCGGCAGGAGGTACGAACACTGAACACTTTCCATAACTTCCTTCATTGCAGCAAGATGAACTGGGGATCTCGGCATAAGTTGGTAATGGTGATGCTTCGCAGGGAAGTATATCTGATACCCGGTCGCACATAGCGTACATGTATCACATTCTTGGCAAGCATGGCAAGGATCTCTGTGTTACACCTTTTCAACTCCACCCCTCCCTTAGTCACTCCATAAACATCCTTTGCCACCTTATCATAGCCAACGTAACCATCCCGTACTATGTGCTGCATGATCTTCAGATACAGGGAGCCATCCCAGCCATTTCCAGAAATCACATTCTCCACGAACCCCATTGCATCGGCCACTCTCAAGTACTGCATCCAGTGGAGACGTTACAGCATCGCTTGCACAGGCTTGTAGCAAGTGTGGGGATCCTCCACAGATTGCAAAAACCTTGTTGCAGTCATCGTCACTCACGGCAGCTGCAGTTTTTCGAGCGCCCACCTGAACATTGTCCACGGACTTGGAGTAAACGTCGTAGAAGTTGCGAGCATCTCGCTCGCGAAAGGGGCCTATTCCAAATGGAACCCAGTCTCCATCCTGAAAGTAAGTGACCGCCCAGGAGATAAACAAGGCGTCCGAGGTGGACAGCACCAAGTGGGCACGATGATCCTGCTTAGTGACTGAAGCGAAGAATCCCAAAAACTCTTTGAGCTCCTGCTGTGG